TAACACTCAAAATATTTGAAGCTAAATATGCACCAGTTTTTTTCTCTACACATTTTTTATAACTTAAGATTCTTTTTTGCAAATTCCAGCTATGATCAATCCAATGTGTTGTAACAGTTAAATAATCATGTTCATTAACACTACGACCCATGTCCGAAGTTATAGACACTCTACAATCTAATATGCTAAACACACAACGAAGATATTGACAATGTTTATCTTGATATACAAAAACATCAGATTTAACAGTATTTCTTGAAAAACCTCTATAATTAGGATTATAAGTTTGTTGAATATATTCAATAAAACCGGGATGTGAAGGAAAACTATAAGGTAAACCACAAACAGAAACCATTTTAGCTAAATTTTCATGATCTCTTTCCTTATTATATTTACGTTGTGTTAGTGGACCACCGGGGTTAGAAGGATCTAATGTTCCTTGAACCATGTTAGAAGCCCCTTCTGATTCATTAACATTAATATCAAAATCATTAACTGGAATTCCTTTTTTTCTATTGGCTAATGATTTAGCTTCTTTATATTGAATCGGCACACAAGATAACAAATGTCTATTTAAGCCCCCCGTCCCACCTTGACCTCCACCTTGTTTATGTTTAAAAGGTTGCTTACATTTATTACAAATAGCAATAGAATTTTCCTTATCTAAAGTCATAAATTGCCACACAACAGAAGTTTTAGGGCGTTGATACTTCACTTTCTCCCTTGTAGGAGGTATAAGGGGTGGGCGTCTAGAATTTTGCTCCGTTGAATTTGTAGTTTCATTTGGAACATTTGTCACCGGACTAGTAGGTGTATCTTCTAATTCATCTTCTCCCGAACCAACTTCTACTTCTTCACCTGAATTTTCATCAAGATAAGGATTAATATCACCATAAATTTGTTGTAAAAGTTCACGATCGAGTTGAGCATTTGAATCAATATCATAAGAAGTATCATCAGCATAAGTAGAATCATTTGTATTAAATCTAACTCTAGAAGTACCACCACATTTACTCTTATTTTTTTCCTTACTACTTTTTTTAGTAAAATTAAATAATCTACTAATGTCACTTGGTTCTTTCTCTTTTCCTTTACCGGTATCTTTTTTGTTAGAACTCATATTTAATTATATGTAAAGTATAATATAAAAATAATAATAACACAAAAATTAATGAGGAAAAATAAAATATAAATATTATGAAACGAATGTACCAAACGTCTGCGTTAATAGCAGACGTTATAACCGATTCTTGAAGCTTGTAGTTTGTTGTAACTTGTAACTTGTAACTTGTAATTTAGAACTCCAATATTTGATAGCAAATATGAGAATTATATATATTATGATATATAATATGAAAACTTAGAATTGAAATATATGTATTATGATATAATATGAGACTTAAATGGAATAAAATATTGAGATTTGAGACTTAAGATTGAGAGTTTGAGACTTGAAAGAATATAAAAAATAGATGAGAGAATATATGATTTTGTAAGAAATAATAAGGGATAGAGGGGTATTTATAATATTAAAAGTGGGTTAAAGTGTATTTATAATAACTTGAAGGTTTAAAGTAAATTATTAAAAGTAGGGGTGGTAGGGGGAAAAAACTATCAAAATATCCGTTGGGGGGCCCACTAGCCGTTGCCCAACGGATAGAATTTTTTTTTAAAAAATAAATAAATAAACAATTTGTTAGGGGATCCCGCGAACCGGCCGGTTCATCCGGGCCGGGACCAACGGGTGAACCAGACCGGTACCGGTCCCCTAATCCCGAAGGCCCCATCCCGCGAGATTCAAACGAGATCGGGTCCGGCGAGCCGGTTCTTGGACCGGTCGCGGGGCGGGGCGGGCCGACCCGGTCCTCCGAGGGCGTAAAATTAAGACGCTCAGTTATGATGAACTTTTTAAAGTGCTGCTTCCCAACTAACATATTACTAAGTCACTATTTGACTCTTCAAATTAACAAATACACACCTTCAATCGATATAATTTAATATTTCCCCTGATTTAATTATTTAGATTTGAATTTTATAAGATCAACTAGTTTGAATTTATATCAAGTTCAGACTTGAAATTTCAAAAAGTGTAAGATCTGAATTCATATGAAGTAAAAGGGAATTTTAGTCATTTCATTACATTCTTTAATAGTCCCTTTGGGGAGAAGATGATATATACTATTATAAATTCCAATATTTCTTGACTTATTGAAAATAATAATTATAACTCCTTAAAAAAGATTTAAAAATGGGAAGAAAAAATTTAAGTAGGTTTAATTAATGGGACAACCTATATTGCCTGAGCTTTCTTATGCTAAAATGCTTAACAATACAATATTTTTTTGTCTCTTTTGTTTAGTATAACTTGTACCTTTTTTAACTGACAGTAAATGTTATTTTGGAAATATAGTCTAACTACGGTGAAGGATGATGATTACATCAGCTTCTTGGATATGATTAGGACAATCCTCTTTTTTTTATTAAAGTATTGAAAGATTACACTCAAAATTCATTTATATCCCGATAAACAAAACGAACCAATCAAACTATGGATGGGATATATGTATGTATATGTATATGGTCCAAAAATTAGTCATTAATTTATCATTTTTCTTTTAAATATAAACATTTAACAGTCATAACAATAAAATATTCCCAAAAGGAATACCAATATATTCCCCACGTATGGATAACGTTAATGTTTTATACTAGCCCGTGCCGTGCGCCTCGAGCCTCAGGGGGGCTTGAGGCATCGTGCCTCCAACGAGGCTCAAGGTGTCGTGCTCCCCTCCCCCCGCCCCCTAGAAGACTCGAGGAGGAGTCGTGCCCCACACACCCACCCCCAAAGGCTCGAGGCGCCACCCCTCGACTCCTCTCCCCCACATCCACCCCCAAGAGGCTCGAGGCGCCGCCCCACGACCCCTCTCCCCAACATCCACCCCCCGGGAGGCTCGAGGCACTGCCCCACGACCCCTGACCCTCACACACACCCCCCGAGAGGCCCGAGGCGCCGCCCCCTGACCCCTGTCCCCAACGCCCACCCCCCGAGGCGCCGCCCCCCGACCCCTATCCCCCACACCCACCCCCCGGGGAGGCTAGAGGCGTCGTGCCTCGAGGCCTTCCCCACCCGTCGGGAGACTCGAGGCGCTATGCCCCGAGCCACCCCCACCTCATTCTATGGAAGGCTCGAGGAGCCGTTCCCCGAGCCTCCCACCCCACACCCCGAAAAGTTTGAGGCGTTGTTCCACGAGCCCCCCCACCCTTCCCCCAGAAAAGCTCGAGGTGTCTTGCCCCAAGACCCCCACCCTACCCTGGAAGCTCGAGACGCTGTGCCCTGAGACCCCCGCCCCTCGAAGGCTCGAGGCGCCATGCCCCGAGCCCCCTGCACCTGAAAGCTCGAGGCGTCGTGTCGCGAGCCTACCATCCCTCGATGGCTCGAGGCGACGTGCCCCGAACCACCACACCCCCCAAGAGGTTCGAGGCGCCATCCCCCGAGTCACCCTTCCCCCCCCCCAAGTGGTTCGAGGCGCGGTTCCCCAATCTTCCCACCCCCGGAGGCTCGAGGCACCTTGCCCCGAGCCTCCCACTCCACCCCTAGAGGCTCGAGGCACCGTACCCTGAGCCTACCACCACACCTGGCGCCTCGAACCCCCCCTCGAAAGGCTCGAGGTGCCTTACGCCGAGACCCCCACCCAACCTACCTGGGCGAGAGGCTAGAGGCGTCGTGCATCGAGCCTTTCCCCACCCATCGGGACGTCCCATGAGACCCCCCCGGAGGCTCGAGACGCCGCACCTCGAGCCTCCTCAGGAGGCGGTGTGTCCCGAGCCACCCCCACCCCATTCTATGGATGGCTCGAGGCGCGTTCCCCGAGCCTCCCACCCCGCACCCCGAAAAGCTCGAGGCGGCATTCCCCGAGTTCCCGACCCTTCCCCCCGAAAAGCTCGAGGTGTCTTACCCCGAGACCCTCTACGCTACCCCAGAAGCTTGAGACATTGTGCCTTGAGCCCCCTGCCTCTCGAAGGCTTGAGGCACCATGCCTCGAACCCCCCGCCCCCGAAGGCTCGAGGCGTCGTGCCCTAAGCCTACCATTCCTCGATGGCTCGAGGCGTCGTGCCCCGAGCCACCCTGCCAAGGGGTTCGAGGCGCCATTCCCCGAGCCACCCCTCCCCCCCAAAGAGGTTCGTGGCGCGATACCCCGAGCCCCCCACCCCAACCCCCGGAGGCTCGAGGCACCTTTCCCCAAGCCTCCCACTCCACTCCACTCCACCCCACCCCTAGAGGCTCGAGGCATCGTGCCCTGAGCCCCCCACCACACCCGACGCCTTGAAACCCCCCTCCCCCCTTCGAAAGGCTCGAGGCTCCGTACCCCGAGCCCCCCACCCAACCCCACCCATAGAGAGGCTCAAGGCATTGTTCCTCGAGCCACTCCATTTCTCCAGAAGTCTCGAGGCCCTGTACCTCGAACCCCCCACCCTGCCTCTAGAGGCTCGAGGAGCCGTCCCCTTAGCCCGCCACCACATAGAGGCTTGAGGCATCGTGCCTCAAGCCCCCCACCCTAGGGTGACTCGAGGCGTCATGCCCCGTTCCCCCCTTTCCCACCCCTACCCCGGAGGCTCAAGGCGTCGTGCCCCAAGTCCCCCACCCACCTAGAGGCTCGAGGCGTCGTGCCTCGAGTCCCTCACCCAACCCCCCGGAGGTTCGAGGCCCCATACCCCGAGCCCTCTCCCCCCCCGGGGGCTAGAGATGTCGTGCCTCAAGCCCTCTCCCCCCCTCCCCCAAGGGGTTCGAGGCTCTGTGCCTCGAACCCTCCACTCCCGGAAGGTTCGAGGCTCTGTGCCTCGATCCCCCCTACTCCCGGAAGGTTCGAGGCGCCGTGCCCCGATCCCCCCACCCCACCCCCAAGTAAGTAAAAACTTAGGAAAAACTCCCTTACCTCATTATTAACCTCTTGGACAAAAGATCCAACTGTTTCACTATCAATCAATACGACTCGCCTAACCTCCAAGTGATTCACTAGTAATTCTATCCTTGACGAGTCAATATCTTCCCTCTTTGTTAGATATAATCCGCCAGTTTTATCAAGTCCCACACCTTCAAAATTTGTAGCGAAGTATTACTTTCAGAAGCTAGAATGCTAGATATTAGATAATAAGTGTTGCAGTTTGAGATGAAAATTGTACTTTATCAACAACAAATCTCCATTTTCTTACCGTATCATATATGAATGACATTGTATCACCTTTTTTCCATGAAAAAGTAGTAAGGAAGATCAACTCAATCAAATAGTAGCATCCAATCATTCAACAAAGAAAGTAGTACAACAAGTTCAGTTCTTGATTTTTCCTCCTCTTTAATATGAAGCCAATAACAAGGTATTAAGTACTGTCCCATATTGTTTATACTCAGAATAAGCAAAGTACTTGTACAGTCGCAACAAAATTGATACTTCAAAACAAAAAGGTCAAAGGTTTTGCTACTAAAAGCAGAATAATTGTACATACTACAAATTTAGGTCAGTTGACCTATCTATTGGACCTGAGTGTACTTTTTTGTATGAGAAAATAACCAAGAGTAAAACTGAAGCAAAGAGCAAATGCACCTGTTCTTACATCACGATATGTTGTCATCTTGGTGTCCATGGTATCGAGAATCAATTGCTACAACTATGTATCCCCTCGAAGCATATGCCTGAACCCAAAAAAGAAAAAAAGAGAATCGTACATCGAATTGTCATTCATTGCTTCTGCTCGATGGTAATATGGGGAGTACTTTTAAGAAAACAGAATATCACCTATAGTAATGGTCGTAACCACTCTTTACATTTGTTTGTACTATGCAGGAAGACAATAGCTGGCCTCTTTTTCTTATCGGTTTCCTTCATGCTTAATACCAAGGCAGGCAACTGCCGTTGCTCTCCTTCCTGGAAACAGTGAGTTCATGTTCAATACTTATAGCTGGAGACATTGAGAACATTACTTCTGAAAAATGAGTATTCCCACATTTATCTTCATTCAATAAATCAGATACTTTTTTAAATGAAATATATATAATTGAAGCAGCCACTTTATTTGACTGCTATGGTCAGTCTTTTTAAATTATCGCAGAACCACTGCATAGCGAGCATCCAATTCAAAGAGCTGAAGATAGAGGGTAAACATTTTTATACCTCGCAGGCCCATTGTAGCACATAATTTATCAATGTTGACAATTTTATCCCCTGATTCCAAGTCCACAACTAAATCTCTCTTGCATATAACTGCTGCAGGAATCAAAAATAGATAAATCTTATAAATAGATGTTATAGCTAAAATGAAATGCTAGAACAAGGACTACTCTGCTGAAAAGATCAAAACCTGCTGCTTAGACATATTCTGAGATGTAGAGGGTGCTACACGCCTTCTTCTCGATGGAATCAACTGCAGCCAATTCATGGTCATCTATGTATTCAACCTTCGGAGGTCTCACTGTGTCAGAAGTTGACATAGATTCATCCATGGAGACTAATGATCCATCTGAGTGAGATGGAGAAATGTCCATGCTGCAAGTTGCAGGAACATGAATGGCAGTGATCTTAGGCACAACTGCATCACTTCTTTGAATAGAAACAGGTTTTGCTGCTTGGCAGAACAACATTACTGTTGCAAGTAGAAATGTTCTTCTTAATGCTTACAATCTTGGATGTACATGGTTGCCTTCCAAAGACAAAAATGATTCCAAGTTAGTCACAACTTCAGATACAAGAAGCAATCTTTTTCAATGTAGGAATTGCAAAACAACTTATTAAGCAAAAGGTTCATCAAACTGTGAAAACTCAAAATTATCAAAAGTTGCCATGTACTGTTTCAAAATAAAAGAAAAACAAAAGATGCAGTAATCCTAACTTGAGTTCATCCAATTCATCCAATCTAATCTAAAACAAAAAATTTGGAAAAATAAAATAGAAGGAAAGAATAGAAAAACATTAGTTGATTTAGGATAGATGACTGACCAATGACTACAATGGATATATTTCAAAGGGCGAGTGATACTTGAGTTGAAAGTAGTGTCCATCAATCCTTTGAACGGATAGGTGTTCCAAATCAATGCAAAATCTAGAACACTGTCATCCGATCAGCTGATATATCGTGGCTTTATTGATTTAGGAGATGCAGCACAAGGGAAAAAAAGATATACAACGGACCTGATCATAAAAGATCAGTTCTGGAAGCTCTTCCCACTTGGACATAATGCTTCGTTGGGCTTTTTGTCTTCAACATAATTTCACTGTTTTTTTGAGAATGTTCCTCCTTAATAAATTTCAAACACATTTCACACCCGAGTACTCAAAGAATAACGCCTTCTTATATGTTAATTTAGAATTAGTGCAAGCCTACATTTAAAATCATCAACAATCAGTAGGTAAATTTACCTCTCTTTTTCGTCATTTGATTTCTATATTGTCTATTCCTCCCCAATTCTCTTACTTCAACTTTTTAATTCTTATTTCTTTTTATAGTGTAGTTCGACTATGGGAGATTGTCAATAAACAGAGTTGTTTCCATAGATTCCTCTAATTGTCCTATTTTATTTTATATCTCAATATGATTAGGCTGATTGTGTAGTTGACGAATTGATTTAAACAAATACATATCATTTCCATTCTCCATTTCTCTTCATTAAAATTGAGGACTGCCATACAAGAACATGAAATAATGTACAAAAGAAAAGAAGAACCAAAAAGTTTTCAGTTTAAGTAAAGAATAACTAACCTAACAGAGGCGGGACAATGTGGAGCCAATTGTTAGCAGGGAAGAGATTATTAAGTGTACATGACAGGGCAAGATTGTGGAAGTGGCTAAACTTAAGTAACTAAGCGGTGAAACTCTTTCACATTCGCTCAATCACTCAATTGCTTTGGAGGATTTTTCAATAATTTATTCAATTAAGCAACGGACAAGAACAATAATCTGAATTTAGTGCGCCAAATAGCTATTGTGTTATTTCTACATCGTCAGAGAATTCCAATGGTGAAGAAGAATTTACCTCAGTGGCAACAAGAGAGAAGTTGCCTTTCCGCCAATTGAGCAGATAGTGGACATCATCGGAGTCGCCGGACATGGAAAGTGCGTTAATGAGGCAAGTGGCTAGCACGTGCTCCTTAAGGCCATAAAAGTGAGTCGCATGGAAGCAAAATTGTCCCGAGGCTTCCTGTAGAAGGTATCTACAAACTTCCAGAACTTGGACCGCTTCTTCTCTTCTGTATCCGCTGGAAAAGGCTGACCATTACACTAAATTTTATGTCTTCTCCACCAACACTGCTATTAACAAAATCAGAAATTCAATACAAAAACACTGCTATTAACAAAATCAAAAATTCAATACAAAAACAGTGAATGTGTACATGAGGAAAGGGTGCTAGGAATGTAAATAGTATACAAGATCACAACAATGTATTTTCTAGTTGTTAGAAATTTGTACTTATATCCAGAACTTGAATCAGGTAAGCTGATGATGTAGCCGTTTCTCTCAAAAAACTATAGTTGTGGTTCAAAAATTAAATTTAAAGGTGCTCTGTCAAATACCAAAATAGAAGCAGTGTAACAAGAAACAACAAACACGGACTATGACAAATCGAAGGCATATTTTGTGTTAAGATGATTAGATTGAAACCCGCAACAGCATCAAGGAGAGAAAATTGAACATCACCTGCCTATCGTAAGCAGGAACATTTGGTGCATTATCAATGTTCAATCAATCTGGTTATTGCATTTCAAAAAAGGAAATAGATGAAACACCAGAATACCCCCATCAGACGCACATGCAAGGGTGGTTAACACCCTCCACCTCCAACTCTAAATTTGTAGGGTTCGAATCATCAAACAGAGCAAATTGGTGAAGAGGGGTATACTCATCTTTAGTTGAGATTTTCATCCTAAATTATTGGAATCGGAAAGCCCCTCCCATTTTCAACCATTAAGAAATCTTACAATTAAAGGCAAAGGTTCATAGTAAAAGTGCAAAATAATACACAGTACAGAAATGAAGCCAGAAGGAAACATCAATAAAGATAAAAAAATCACAGAATTGATTTGACCAACTAAGATTTTCAGAATTCAACAAGGTGCTAAAGAGAGACTTGATTCTATTTCTGTTGGTATGGGTTATATTGAAGATTAAGTACTATCCCTTGCAGTTGAACTAAATGATAAAATCCGCCAGCTGCAGTCCATCATGTCGGTAACTGATCAATTTCTCTCTTTTTTTGTGGCAGAGCATGGTTCTAGTTGAAGCACCTTTTCTCCCTCTTCTCCTTATCAGTACTACAAATACCTTCTAGTATTATATATGCTTATCCTGCTATTTTTGGTTTAGATACTTTCATTTGCTTCTTTACTCTTGTATTTTCTTCAAACTTATTTTTGAGGCCTATTGGAAACAGTATTTCTACCTAGCACAAAATGGGGGTAAGGTCTGTACACATTCTTGGTATAGTTAACATACTCTAGATGCAAGGCTTGATCCACCGTAGTCCTATTTTTTGATGATCCAAAGGACTTGTACATTGAAGGGCAATCCTCCTTGAGGAAAGGACTCTATTTCTGGACAATTACGCAGTTGCAGTGTATTAAGAGATGAAAGGAGTTCTTGCATACGTTCTGCAAAATATTTTTAATACACGGTTCAATCAAATATCGGTGTTGGTCGTACCATGATCTAATCCAACTTCCTTGAGAAAACAACTCATGTACATGGCCTTTCTCTGTGCTTTGACGCAATTCTGATTCTGCAACAGATGACGACTTGGTTGACTTTGTAAGATCAGCCAGTGATTTCCTTCCACCCTTTTTCTCCAAAACTTTAGAATAATTATCTTTTCTTCCTGCACTAAATTTGTTTCTAGAGGAATCAAGATCTTTCCATCACATTTGCGGAATTATTTTTCTTTGATTCTTGTAGAGCATAAGGCTTTGAGATATCATTAAGTGATTTTCTTCCACCAATCCCTCCGATTCTTCAAGATACCATTCTTTCCCACCAGAGAAGCCCTTGCTAAGAAATAGTATATCACACTAATGTATATTCCAGTTGTTAGAAGAAATTTGTATCATTATAGTGTATACTTATATTCTGACATTAAATTTGTAGCCATTCCTCTCAACAAATCATGGTTGTGGTTCAAACATTAAATTTAAAGGTGATGTAATGAAAACCAGAATAGAAGCAGAGTAACAAGAAACGACAAAAACAGACTATGACAACAACAACAAAAAATTGAGATTCCAAAAACATTTCTGTAATTCCCCGCCCCTACTCCTTCCATTTTCAACCATCAAGAAATCTAACAATTAAAACCAAAAAGCTCAGTGAAGTGCAAAATAATACCCAGAATAGAAATGAAGCAAGAAGTAAACATCAATAAAGATAGAAAACTCACAGAATTGATTAAACCAACAAGTTTATTCCTAAATTCTTGAAATCGGAAACCCCCAACCCCTACCCCTCCCATTTTCCATCAAGAAATCTTACAAGTAAAACCAAAAATCACAGTGAAGCAAGAAGGAAACATCCTAAATTGAAGGTGATGTAATGAATACCAAAATAGAAGCAGAGTAACAAGAAATGACAAACGGAGACTATGACAAAACCCAGAAATCTCAGTGAAGCAAGCTTGAAATCGCAAACCCCCACCTCCACCCCTCCAATTTTCCATCAAGAAATCTTACATGTCAAACCAGAAATCAGATGGAAACATCTTAAATACTTGAAATCGGAAACCCCCAACCCCCAGCCATCCCATTTTCCATCCAGAAATCACAGTGAAGCAAGCTTAAAATGGGAAACCCCATTTTCAACCATCAAGGAATCTTACATTTAAAACCAGAAAGAACATCAACATCAATACTGATAGAAAACTCACACCATTTATTCGACGATGACAATCTTTCTTCTTTCTTGCTGATGTATTACAATTCGAATTCCGAAAGGAAAGCTTTGGCGATTGCGAGAAATAGCTCAACGTTCACTAATGAGCCTTTTGGTTTAGGAACTTACAATTAATATCGACGATGACAATCTTTCTTCTTTGAATTTTTTTGTCTTTTAAAGTTACCAAGGAGAAGCTAAAATTGAATAAAAGGTGACAATTTTTAATACATTTAAAAATATAATTAAGTTAATCTGGAATCAAATTGACATTTTCAAAAT